CCCCCTAGCAGTACCCCTACCCTCCCAGCAGTACCCCTACCCCCCACACACAGTACCCCTACCCTCCCAGCAGTATCCCTATCCCCTCCAGGCACAAAAAACACACATTGCCCAAACACCCCAAATGTACCTTAAAAATACATAAAACCCCACACAGGTAGCCCCGATCTGATAGCCCTGATCTGGGTGACCAACATAACCAAAAATCACGCAGATTGGTTCAGAGGTTCAGGAATTTCCTGGAAGTCCTAATTTAAAAACCGAACTAACTACCGAACATAGTCAATGTTCTTACCCTGGAGCTTGTTTCCCTTGTTTGTGGGAATGGTTCCACTGTAAAGTGTCTTTCTAAGTGTTGTAGAACCGAACACAGGTGATCATGCCTCACTGAAGATGCCTAACAAGGCTGAAACGATCATCTGGGGTTGCTGTGTCTCTCGTGCACAGAGAACTTGCTGGCATTTGGATCTGGACTGCCCATATAGGTGGGACCAGTCTGATATGCTTCAGATATGTTCTCTCTGTAATGGCACAAGATGAGCTAAAACCAGCATGAGTTATGAGCGGGGACCACCAAAGGGCAGGCTATTTCAGTTGCTGTCCATTCTCAGAATACTCTTGTGACCTGTTTTTTGCTCTCCATAAGTTTAAAGGATAATCCAGACGTGGACCCCTTGCTCACGGTGCCTAGAGAGATATCAGCTATGCCTCACTGATGATGCCTAACAAGGCTGAAACGATCGTCTGGGGTTGCTGTGTCTCTTGTGCAGAGAGAACTTGCTGGCATTTCGGATCTGGACTGCCCGTATGGGTGGGAATAGTCTGATATGCTTCTGATATGTTCTCTCTGTAATGGCACAAGATGAGTTAAAACCAGCTTGAGCTCTGAGAGGGGACCCACCGAAGGGCAAGCTATTTCAGTTGCTGTCCGTTCTCAGAATACTCTTGCGATCCATTTTTTGCTCTCCATAAGTTTAAAGGGTAATCCAGACGTGGACCCCTTGCTCACGGTGCCTAGAGAGATATCAGCTATGCCTCACTGATGATGCCTAATGTGGTGAAACCGACCTCGCCACGTGTCCTTGGAGGGGGCTGCTTGCCCGCCTCTTGCCTTTGGACTATGGACCATGTGAATGTGTTAACCCAGATAGCTATGCCATGGAGCCCATTTGTGTAGTTAAAGACTTCGGCTCCATGGCAATTGAACTGTGTGAATAGGATCTGAGCGCTATTCGGTAGTTTTGTGCGCTCAGATCCCAGCTATCTGGGGATATGTGAAATGTCTGTGTGTTATGTGTAAAAGGTGACTTTATGTATTTTAAAGTGTTTTATGTCTTTTTGCAACCATGTGCTCAATGGAGTCTGCCTCTATCCCTGGATAATTGGATTACTTTCCCCCATTGTCTCCAGGATAGAGGGCTCTGTAAAACCTATTTGAGCCAGATAGCCATGTGCCAGCCAGGGCCCAAAAGATACTTTTACTAACTTTTGAACCCCTGGTCGGATTCATGCCATTTTTTTATATGTTGTTCCCCTGAATGGATTGATTGTGAATATGTAATTTTATGTGAATGTGATGTATGGTTTTAAAGTTATGAAAGTTGGGTAGAAAGTATGTTTTTACTGTATGTGTAATTGAGTTTCCTCTCAGGATAAGGGGAGGGAATATGTGGGATGTAACTGATATGTGATTGGTTGTTTTATACCTCCCTGTGGGCGGTCCTGTATGTGAAAGGCTGTAATAAAAACCAGGCTGGGTGTGCCAGCACATGAGTTCCTGTTTTAACCCTCAAAGTGAAGTGTCGTCTCATTATTGTGGGAAGGATTTATTGTATGCTGTTCCAGTTTGACTGCTAGGAGAGTAAACCTATTGGTATGGTTCCTATTCAACTGTCTACAGCATTCATATGCTTGAGAGAAGGTATACGCTTCTCCGGTTCGGTGATTGTGGTGTCTGCCAGAGTGCTTGGAGTCCTCAGGAAATGCTAGGAGCATCCTTTAACGGAGGTACCCAGTCGGGGTGCCAGGTGATCCGTTACACCTACCAAGGCTGAATCGATCGTCTGGGGTTGCTGTGTCTCTTGTGCAGAGAGAAATTGCTGGCATTTCGGATCTGGACTGCCCGTATGGGTGGGACCAGTCTGATATGCTTCAGATATGTTCTCTCTGTAATGGCACAAGATGAGCTAAAACCAACTTGAGTTCTGAGCGGGGATCCACTGAAGGGCAGGCTATTTCAGTTGCTGTCCGTCCTCAGAATACTCTTGCGACCCGTTTTTTGCTCTCCATTCTTTCTGGGAAAGAAGCAGATTTAATTGCCCCCTCCCTCCCCCCCAGTTTCCATGAGCTGATGCAATTTGGAGGGATCGTTGTTAATTATAAGAAACCTCTCCAGAGATCACATTGTCCTGTGAGGTCTGCTACAGCCTGGTTCCTCTGAAACTTCCTGTGGGCCGCAACACCATTCAATCTTCAATGAAGAACAGTGTTATGGACACCCCAAGGCGTCATCTTAGAAATCTTTGGAGAACAATTAACAGAGAAGTGAGACTGTATTTTACAGATCATAGAGGCTACAATCATTGGGTCCCAAAGGAGATTGTCATTTACATCCCATTTGTGACCTTTAGGATTGACCATAAGTCCTGAGAAGTTAGTTTCCACTAGTGTATTGTTTGATGATTTAATAAATGTGAGTATACACCAGCCGATTCAACAGATCTTGGGTGCAGAATATGTTGTCCAATCTAAAATACCTATCATGAGAAGAGAAAATATAATATTTGGTCTTGGGGAACACAACTCTCCAAATATCAAACAATTTACAAGTATCACACATAAAGGTTTATAGTAGGAGGAGGAATACTCTACCTCAGCCCTTACAGACCTGTTAATATAGGGATCAAGATCAGTAATAAAATCTCCCCAATAAGTATATTATGAGAGGACAGATCAGAGAAAAATGCCTCCAACATAGCATAAAAGGAGGGATTGGGTGTAGTAGATGCATAAACCCCAATCGGGATAATCAAATGCCCACCTTATCCTGAACTGAAGAAACATGAGAAAAATTGACCCTCTTATGAATAAATATATAGACTAGTGTTTTTTTTTTCTTTGTAGGGCCAACAGAATGAAAACTATAGGAGTCACCATTTTCCCAGGATGTCAGAAACTGAAGCATAGTGAAATGTGTCTCCTGCAATGTCACTATATCAACATCAATTTTCCTAACATGCTACCTGCATTTATTAAGAATAACAAACCACTTCTCATAATGATTACCTTGAGTTGAGGTTCTGCAGGAGAGACAGGTCAGTCCCATGTTCTTATGAAGTAAAAAAAACCAAGAGGTAAAAAGGTCAAAGAAGGGAACAGGAAATAGATGAGAGAAAGCTATATGAGAGTAGAGTAAAGAAGAAAAGAAATAAAAATGCAAGTTCTCACCAAGTAAGGATAAACAGGAAATATAGCGATTAGAGAATCGCGAGGAATTTGGAGGTTCCACGTCATCCGTCTTAACCAAATAAAAATTTCTTAAAGATGAAGCCCTCTACTACGTTTCCAATTGTTAATCCCAGCCATGTAGTGCAGCTGCTAGAAACATAAACTTGCACCGGTACAGGGTACGTAGGTTTAGCAAAACTTCAGAGGCAATGGTTCCAAACATAGACCTGCATTGTGAGAGAGTACTCCATGGTGTCTTCATCTTCATGATAACACCAGGGCTGTGTTTAATAGTGATAGGAAGAGGAAATAAAACTACAAAGAGAAAAAAATCTTTGAGTACCACTGCTGCCAATAAGGGGAGAGTCACACTTGGAAATTATCCTCCTATGATTTCTGCCTCCTGGTTTTATTTGTGGATGTGTTATTGTTAGTTTATTCAGTACTCCATTGGTGCAGTAAAGCATTTGGGTGGTATACCCAGTCTGTATTTGTGTTGTCTTTCAGTGTCCCTTTTTTCTTTTTTCTTCTGTTGTCTTCTGTTTTCCTTGCCCCCTCCTTATGTGGTATGGTCTTGTCAACAATTTTGCCAAAAAGGTGCACAAGGTAAGTGGTCAATCCAGTCAACACGCATCATCAAATGTCAAGGTAAAGGCATATATCACTTGTTGATATGAGAAGACTTAAGGCATATCAAGTAGGAGAAAATAACAACGTGAAACAAAATGTATTGGCAATTGAACTAAAACAAAACTGAGCAAAAAGGGCAGGAAGGCCATGGGCCCCATACTCAGTACTCACAGAGGTGGAGATTGGAAAACATTTTCTCCACCCCAGAAAAATTGAAAAGATGCAACATCACAAAAACCGACACGCGGTCCACATTGGACAGCATGATAGGTGGAGAAGGAATGGATAATGTACCGGCACAAAGCTGGATACCAAACTGGGACCAGTCTACCCTGTCTCCGTTACAATTAGTTACTGAGAATTTCTCAAAATCATCAAAATCTGAATCATCAAATGGCTCATAATCTAAATCAAGAACATCATCCATAGCTGTAATTAGATCATTGGATGAGCTAAATATTAGACTTGAAGAATCATTTTGTTATGAACCTCAATGTGTCAGAATTCCTGAACTCCAACCTGAAATGTGGCCAAATCACAAGCCAAACGGATCACACAATTTACAAGCTTGTTCATTTTAAACCTGAATTATACCCATGGTGCCAAGAAAAGAGATAATGGACTGGAAAAAAAGATGATTGAAGACAAGGGGGCAAACACTAAATGATTTCTTTTCCATCTATCAAGTGTAAAGTCACCAACAGAGTGAAAAAAGGAGCAGTAAGATATCTGTGTGATGGGAGAAGGGAGTAGCACCTTTGATGTAGTCTCAGATGCTGCTATGTTCTCAGATACAGGTGGATATGTAAATAAACAAGTACAACAAATATAGTACACTTGGTAGAAGTAAAAGAATGTATGTACATAGTGTAAAGCTTAGGGTAGCTCTATTTTAATGCGCATTGGGGGTATAATCTTGGCCTGAGAATATCTGGTATATTCGTTCAATTCAACTTAAAGCACTAAGTGTGTAAGGGTTTCGTAAAAGCAGCCTGAGGTGATGTACACCCTACTCAAGGATCTGTGTTGGTGGATGAATTCAGAGCATATTTTTTTTATTTGGTTTTATTTACTGTATTAAAATAGCTTTGTTGAAGGTGAAATACTCAAAATTAAATCTTGGCTCTTGGCAAGCATATTAGTTACTTCCACATGCTTATACCTTCTGTATTCATCCTGAGTTTCCAAGAAGGTATAGGTGGAGGGATGGTGTACCTATAGGGATACTAAGTGGCCACCCCAAAGAGTTTCAGATAAATACCAATCTAAATTGAAAATCATGATTTTATTTTCCATCCTGTGCCTGATACAGCAATTATTCCTACATCTTTGAATCTGTTGCCACTTATCAATCTCATAGACATGTCTCATGTCACAGGCTACCATTTAGGATTGAAATCACTTTGTTTATACAGCCCTAGTCACACCTCCCTGCATGTGACTTACAAAGCTTTCCTAAACACGTCCTGTAATGTCAGATCTAATGTTTACTCTTCCTTTATTTAAAACATAGAAACATAGAATGTGATGGGAGATAAGAACCATTCGGCTCATCTAGTCTGCCCAATTTTCTAAATACTATCATTAGTCCCTGGCCTTATCTTATAGTTAGATTATGCCTATCCCACACATGCTTAAACTCCTTTACTGTGTTAACCTCTATCACTTCAGCTAGAAGGCTATTCCATGCATCCACTACCCTCTCAGTAAAGTAATACTTACTATTATTTTTAAACCTTTGCCCCTCTAATCTATACACCAAAACTGCTTCATCAAGGTAAACTTGTTTTGTTGACTATTGTGTCCCTTTACGCAAAATATGATGTATCCTGTCATATGGTAAGCTGTATAGTTTTGCACCTGACCTTCCTTTACCTATTGTCAATACTTTGGAGATAGATCTTAGTTCTTCTTATAACCCTGACAACAGGACCTTATTTTCTTCATAAACCTACTCCTTCACTAAAATCAAGCCTTTGTGAATGGAACTATAATGAAGTTGATAACAGATTTAATTTTATTTATTTAATTATAAAATATTTTACCAGGAAAGATACATTGAGATTTCTCTTGTTTTCAAGTATGTCCTGGGTCCACAAATCATTGCATTGTTACAATTAGGGTACAATAAAATACATAACCAATATTAATACACAATAAATACAAAATTTAACATAGAACAGGCAGGAAATATATAATCAACCATGACAGGTGCATTCTGTTTTGAGGTATGTAGAGAGGGATCTCTTAAAGGACTTTAGGCTTAGGGAAGATTTTAAATTGTGCGGGAGGTCGTTCCACAATTGCGGTGCTCTGTAGGAGAAGGAGGATCGGGCCGCTTTCTTTTTGTATTGAGGTAGACTAAGTAAAGTGCTGGTACTGGATCGGAGGTTATAGGAAGTGGGAACAGCTAAGGAAAGCATTGTGTTCAGGTAGGGTGGAGGTTTCCCAGAAAAGCTCTTAAACACAAGGCTGGAAAGATGAAGGGTGCGTCTGGATTCCAGCGACAGCCAGTTTAGTTCTTTTAGCATGTCACATTGGTGAGTCCTGTAATTACATTGTAGCACAAATCGGCAGAACGAGTTATACAATGTGTTGAGTTTATTAATGTGGGATTGCGATGCAGATGAATATACTACATCCCCATAATCAATGATTGGCATCAGCATTTGCAGTACAATCTTTTCCTTCACTGTAGGGCTTAGGCAGGATTTGTTTCTGTACATTATGATGTCACACAAATGACACTACAAAGTTAACAATTAAATAACAATGCTTATGCTTTACAGGATTACCTTGTGGCAGTGAATATACACACTGTACAGAAAGCACACCCAAATCAAAGATATGGTACATACATTTTAGAAACTCCGTATCTGTATGAAATATACCTCATTTGCTTTAAGGACTCTTCCTTATATTCGATAATATGAAATATCTGTATAAAACTATAGCTACATATTGTTTTAACTTTTCTCTACATTAAAATTCGCCAAAAAATTTAGGTTTGAATTCAGCTTTTATTCCTGTACCCACCAAAATGTCATATTATTTATACACAATTTAATTGATACACTTATCAAAACTGCATCTGTTGTTTGTCCTAAAGGAGGTGTGTGTGTGCGCCTCCGTACTATACTGCGGATTATGATTTTAAAAAATATATATTTACGCCAATTACTTTTCCAGAAAACAATTTCTTATCTTTTTTTTTTTTTTCTTCCTTTGTTCTGGCTCCAGGATCCATGTTAATCATGTGTTTTTGTGATTCTATAGTTCTGACTATTTCTGCTACAGATGGCTTCCTAAGACTTTGTGTTATGGAGCAGATGTGTTTCCTCTGCTAGCTACTTAATCATTTTCTAAAGGGTAAAGCCTTCTAAGTCTGCATGTAAAAAGAGCAGAGGTGTCTAGAAATGCCTGTTACAATTTGGAAAATAGATATAAACTGGATGTAAAATAGCTAATTTTAACTTCTGCCTAGAAACAAATCAAGAATGCATTGGTGTACTTGCCATTATACCTGAATTTTGCAAGACAGTCCCTGTTTTGGACCACCGTTTCACTGTCCCCAGTATTTACTCTTGTGTTTCAATTCCCAGGGCAACCAGAGGAAAATGTAACGTGATTACATTCTTAAATGCACTAAGCTATAATTCTAGCACATGTGAGTGTTTCAGTATCACTTGAGTAACATAACCTGTCATGCTAGCAGAGACAGAATTATAGTCCCCCTTATTGCCATGTACCATATGTGAATGATTAGTGGTGACTCATTAATATTTTGTTGTAATACATTTTTATTTATTAATTATACAATATACTTATTTTTTCTGTTGGGGGTTTTAACTATTTTTGTGTAAACTTTGAGATGGGTCTGTGCTCTGGGCCTGCCTGCTGGGATGGAATAGGGTGCTAGCACCAGGGGGTAGAGTTGACATAACTCCACTTCCACTGATGCAGCCTCCATTTAGACCAGGGGTGGGGAACCTTTTATCTGCCAAGGGACATTTGGATATTTAAAACATCATTCGCGTGTGTGTGAGGGGTGCAGTATGTGTATGTGAGGGGTGCAGAGTGTGAGGGGTGCAGAGTGTGAGGGGGAGATGCGGTTTGTGAGTGTAGGGGGTGCGGTTTGTGAGTGTAGGGGGTGCAGAGTGTGAGGGGTATTGTGTTTGTGTGGGGTGCAGTGTGTTTGTGTGAGGGGTGAGGTGTGTGAGACTGTGTGAGGCTGACTTCACTCTTTCCTTCCCGCGAGCACAGCGCTGTTGGACCATTGCCATGGTAACACACGGCAACACTCTGACTTGCCGGCTTGCGGGAGGATCACAGCCTCCCGGGTACTCCTCCTATTCAGCAGGCTCCCGGGTCCTAGCTTACTCCCTCTCCATTAACAAATTGCCAGGAGGCCGGTGAGGGAGATCTTTGATCTCAACAGAAACTAAGAAGCAAAAATTCACAAACTGAATATAATGCTGACTGGAGATAAACACATAGGCACCAAAGCATCCAGTGGTATTTAACAATGTAACCAGAGGGACACCACTAAATATCTGAAGTAACAGAAAATATCAACACAGAAATAAACTGACTCTAAATAATAATAAATATCGAACTAGCCTTATAAGGCTACTCCCATGCCTAAGTAAGTGAGGGGATAAAGTTACTAAACACCTAAGTCTTCAATATTCATATAGGCTTTATTAGTCCTGGCCCTTTAAAGCATAAGGTGTTAGTAAATCTCCACTTAGTACCTAAGCACCAGATTTTAGATCTCCCCCTGGCCCAAAAAGGGCAGACAGCAGGGCCGGATCTCCATGGGCCAGACCAAATTATTTAGACTCTGCATTGTTTAAACCTGGTGCTACTGTTGCAAAGTGTGAAAAGTGAAGAGATAGTGTCTGACAGCTCTTCCTCAGTTCCATGCTTTAAATTCATCCCTGCAATTAATCCCATGCAGTCTCTGATAAACCTCCCCTGACCCCATGCTTTGAATCCCTCCTTTACCTCCTCCCATGCTGGACAGTCATCTTCTGCAGTGTCATCCAGACAGGAATTGAAAGTCCTGCTCTCCACTCAGGTACGACTTTGTTTGATACTCTGCATTTAGAAAATGAACTAAACTGTTTAGTAGTAATGTCTTACCTTTAGCAATGCAGTTCTTGCTGACTGCTTTCCTATGAGACTCAGCCAGCTATTCAGTACTTAAGCTGGAGTGTTACTGGTAAGTCATAAAGCATTAAAAGATATTTTTTATAATACAAATAAAAAAAAGTGCAATTGTAAGTAATAACAACCAAAGTAGATTATTAATATAAAATGGTTATTAGCAGATAAAGTGGGCAAAGTCCAATAGGATATGAGCAAAGTTCACAGAGAGGATCTAGATCAGGGATAGGCAACATTTGGCACCCCAGATGTTGTGGACT